GGGCAAGGAGGAGGTGTTGCTGTGTGCTTCTCTAAAAGTGTTCATGCCCTGCAATTGATATTGCCACCCCTACACATCTTGAAATGATGTTCTTCAAGCTCTGAATAAACACTAGTACCTCTGTACTAGCATGTGCAATGTACGGGCCCTCAGTGGCAACATGCAGACCCTATCAACTTCCTAATGGAAAATATTGACTCCCTTCTGCTACAACACAACTGTCAACATATTATAATTGTTGGGGACGTAAACCAGCACCTTATACAGAGGGACTTTGATGACCTTCTTGCAGTGTTTGACATGAGAAACTTTGTTGATTTCCCTACTCATATCTCTGGCTCCCCCCTTTGACCAGTAGGTGAGTGATCTGGCAGAAGGCATAGTCACTTGTCAACCCCTCGGCTATGTTGGATCGTCTGACACAAGGTGTTTTTACGACACTTAAGATCCCAACAGAACGAGGTGAGGAGTCAAAACGCACAAACCTGGCTATGGGAAAGAGGTAATTGGCCAGCTTTTGCTTGAGCTCGCAACCACCGACTGGAATGCTCTTCTCCCAAAGGGGGTGTTGACAACCAAGTGAAAGCCCTTTATGGACACATCCTTAATCTACAACAAGAACAAAATTCCTCACCTGCAATATTTTGACGAAGCCTACAGATCAGCCCTTTGGGTTTGGCTTTCGTTGTAGAGAGGCTGCTACTGCTAAGTACAAAGCATGGCGAAGTATAAGAGGACATCCTACCACCCATACAGGAACTTGCACATTTCAAGCCTGTAGGCATATGGGTGATGTTCAAAAGTGGGGCCATTGCAAATGGGAGGTGGACACTAAAAGAAAGTTAGCATCAGGTAGGGTGGCTCCAAAACCTGGTGGTCCCTGGTCAAGGACAGACAAGGTTATCTGCCTGATGAATTATTCCACCTCTAAATCGACAGGATGGGACCACCTCTACTAGTAGTCAAGAGAAGGCGGAAACCCCTTTGCTGAACACTTTGCTACCAAAAAGCAAGTTCTGATCCAGCAAGGGACCTCCTTGGCTAGCTGCAAGAACTGTGTCAAACTGTCAGTGGTGACAATAGGCAGGAGGAGGTGCATTTCCTACTTAAATCGCTTGACCAAGAAAAAGGTGTGGGCCCCCACAAGTTGAGCCCAAGATTGTTGAGAAGATGTACAGACCCGCTGCAGCACCCCTAACTCGCATCTTTCCCGCATGCTAGTACAGTGTAAATGGCCTCTCTATGGAAAAAAGGCGAATGTAGTCCCTGTTCACAAAAAGAAGAGCAGAGCAGAAATCAGCAAAATACAGACCCGTGTTTACTCCTGTCAATCATGGTAAGACCAGTGTCACTCCTGTCAATCACTGGTAGATCCTTGGGCACAATAATCTCAAGGGCAATGACAGAGATTTTTGACTACCACTCACTACTTTGTGATCGTCAATATGGTTCAGGAAAGGTTACTCTGCTGTGATCTGTTGTTAAACCTTCCACTAAGTGGCACAGTCCTGGATGAATCCAAAGTCTAACTGTGTGGTAGCAAATGGACATTGCTGGCGTTTCGACCGGGTGTGGCACCAGGGCCTCTTAGCAAAACTTCAAGCACTGGGAATTGCGGCTCTACGCCCATGTCTCCTCAGTGATACCTTTATGGTAGATCTCTAGTGTAGTTCTCAATGGAACGGAATCAGCAAGAACCTATTGGGGCAAGTGTTCCACAAGGAAGCGTGCTGGGTCCATTGTTATGGAATGTTACTTCAACGACCTTCTTCATCTCATCCCAGAATCCTTTATATGCAGACGACTGTACACTGAATTCACTTACCCAAGAGAAGAAATGCCAGTGCTCTAAGCTACATCAATCCACCAGTGAGGGGCTATATCAGCTTGGGGAAATAGATGGCAAGTAACATTTGCACTGAGAAACGCAAATGATGATGTCTCTAGGCACCATGATGGTAATGCTGGTGCAGTAGTAAGGATGAATGGGAGGATGTTGGCACCTGGAGAAGAAGTTGATATCCTTGGGGTGAAATTTGACTCCAAACTAACCATGAAGAACCATGTTGTAATCTTGCAAACAAGGCAGCAGGGGAAACTTTTCAGCACTTCGCCGTATCTCGCATCTGCTTGACAGTAGGGGGTTTCAAGATCCTGTACGAGGCACAAGTTACGCTCGCACCTTGAGTATGCTCCCCTTTCTTGGTTTGCCTGCCCCCCCTTCTCATCTGCGACTGCTTGACAGAGTAGAGAAACAGAGCAAGACGTCTCATCTCTCGCCTGGACCCATCCTGGATAGATCTGTCATTTCAGCAGGCCTTCAACATGGGTGGCCTTACTGTTATGTACAAGGCCATATTGTCAAAATACCCACTTGGATCCACTTCGAGGACAACGTGAAAAAGCTTTTATGCCACAAGACGGGCAGCCAGCAGCAACTTCATCTGGCTGTACCCTTTCCAGAACATCACTCCATCTGAGATCATACATACCCAGGATGACTCGAGTATGGAACACATTCGTACAGCATAATGATGTCAACGAGATAAAGTCAGTTGATCAAATGAAAATGCTGGTCCACAGATGGCTCCAACTTCATCCTGTTTCCTACTTGTATGTCTCATAACAATAAAAATGCTTTCAAATGAGCTGATGTAGGTAACAGCTCTTAGCTTGCCAATAAAGTTAGGAATCCTTAACCTGTAAATAGCTGTCAATAAAGCTAGGGATCCTTAACCTTGTCAAACCCTGTGTAAAAAAAAAAAAGAGAGAGAGAGAGAGAGAGAGAGAGAGAGAGAGAGAGAGAGAGAGAGAGAGAGAGAGAGAGAGAGAGAGAGAGAGAAGGAGAGAGAGAGAGAGGAGAGAGAGAGAGAGAGAGAGAGAGAGAGAGAGAGAGAGAGAGAGAGAAGGAGAGAGAGAGAGAGAGAGAGAGAGAGAGAGAGAGAGAGAGAGAGAGAAAGCAGCACAGTGGCTTCCTCACTCCTATACATAAGACAACAGTAAACAGTGGGGGACCTACAATTTTGGGGCCCTGAAGCTTGAACTGTTATAGGGGCCCATCGCAACCCCGTCTCATACAGTAGGTCCGAAATTTTTAAGCAATGTGGACCTAAATCACTTTCGGGGCCCTCCGGGTTAGGGACCCTGAAAGTTAAGTTCCCTGATAGTGAAGATACATCAATCTTGATAAGAATACTAATTACATCGACTCCAGACTGAGGGACTGATTACCTCAAACTCCTGATCTTCACTATTGTTCTGTGTACAGGACTGATGAAGACACTGTGTGGCGAAGTGTTTCCTTAATAAACATTCACAAGTTTTGTACAAGTGTCTAATATATCATTCCAATACTTGCATTACCTTCCCCTAGCTACAGTACACCTCTGATAAAAGTTTTAAGCCGATCGGTTAGACCATTCTCAAGTTATAAAGAAAAACTTCATATAATTACATACACGTAATTTATATATATATAATATATATATATATATATATATATATATATATATATATATATATATTATATATATATATATATATATTTATATATATATATATATATATATATATTTATATATATACATATGTATGTATTTATACATAAATTTTTGTACGATTTTTAAGCTTAATTATTTTAAATTTGCCAAATTTTAGTTAGAAAAAATATATATATAACTTGGTCTGTTAATAATTTTAATGATTGAAAATATAGTTCTTAAGACATTGAAGTTATTTTCTTAATATAGTTTGTCTTAACTTTAGTGTTGTCAGCAGCACAAGACGAGTTACTTAACCATATACCAGCAACAATGTCCTCCAAAATTAATAATTGGCAGCCTCTGCCTCCACAGCATCACTAACATTGTTATCTGTGTCTCTTATTATTCCATCTTCTCATCTGCTCTGACATGAACACATCTCCAGCATCACTAACATTGTTATCTGTGTCTCTTATTATTCCATCTTCTCATCTGCTCTGAGATGAACACATCTCACAGCATCACTAACATTGTTATCTGTGTCTCTCATTATTCCATCTTCTCATCTGCTCTGACATGAACACATCTCACAGCATCACTGACATTGTTATCTGTGTCTCTCATTATTCCATCTTCTCATCTGCTCTGACATGAACACATCTCACAGCATCACTAACATTGTTATCTGTGTCTCTTATTATTCCATCTTCTCATCTGCTCTGAGATGAACACATCTCACAGCATCACTAACATTGTTATCTGTGTCTCTTATTATTCCATCTTCTCATCTGCTCTGACATGAACACATCTCACAGCATCACTAACATTGTTATCTGTGTCTCTTATTATTCCATCTTCTCATCTGCTCTGAGATGAACACATCTCACAGCATCACTAACATTGTTATCTGTGTCTCTCATTATTCCATCTTCTCATCTGCTCTGACATGAACACATCTCACAGCATCACTGACATTGTTATCTGTGTCTCTCATTATTCCATCTTCTCATCTGCTCTGACATGAACACATCTCACAGCATCACTAACATTGTTATCTGTGTCTCTTATTATTCCATCTTCTCATCTGCTCTGACATGAACACATCTCACAGCATCACTAACATTGTTATCTGTGTCTCTTATTATTCCATCTTCTCATCTGCTCTGACATGAACACATCTCACAGCATCACTAACATTGTTATCTGTGTCTCTCATTATTCCATCTTCTCATCTGCTCTGATATGAACACATCTCACAGCATCACTAACATTGTTATCTGTGTCTCTTATTATTCCATCTTCTCATCTGCTCTGAGATGATCACTTCTCACAGCATCACTGACATTGTTATCTGTGTCTCTCATTATTCAATCTTCTCATCTGTTCTGAGATGAACACATCTCATAGCATCAATAACATTGTTATCTGTGTCTCTCATTATTCCATCTTCTCATCTGCTCTGAGATAACACATTACAACCACTGTAACTAATAACAGCGCATTTGTTGTCTCCTGCAGTAAACTGTGACTCTCCGTTAAGAGGCAAGGAAACATTCTTCAACGTACCCTCAGAGAATAATTTCTGTCTCTGGTATAAGATGGATGAGAAGTACACTCAGCTGAACTTCACATACAGAACCAATGTCTGGGATTCTGAACTACCACCTGTCATCAACTATAGTGGTGTTCGGTCCAATACGGAGGAATATATAAGTATTACTTCTGATGACATATTGGTAAGTTTTGTTAAAGAATGTTTTTGATGAGGTGAACAATGATTGTAGACTGTGCACTAGAAGATAGGAAGGTGAATAATGATTGTAGACTGTGCACTAGAAGATAGGAAGGTGAATAATGATTGTAGACTGTGCACTAGAAGATAGGAAGGTGAATAATGATTGTAGACTGTACACTAGAAGATAGGAAGGTGAATAATGATTGTAGACTGTGCACTAGAAGATAGGAAGGTGAATAATGATTGTAGACTGTACACTAGAAGATAGGAAGGTGAATAATGATTGTAGACTGTGCACTAGAAGATAGGAAGGTGAATAATGATTGTAGACTGTGCACTAGAAGATAGGAAGGTGAATAATGATTGTAGACTGTGCACTAGAAGATAGGAAGGTGAATAATGATTGTAGACTGAGCACTAGAAGATAGGAAGGTGAATAATGATTGTAGACTGTACACTAGAAGATAGGAAGGTGAATAATGATTGTAGACTGTGCACTAGAGGATAGGAAGGTGAATAATGATTGTAGACTGTACACTAGAGGATAGGAAGGTGAATAATGATTGTAGACTGTACACTAGAGGATAGGAAGGTGAACAATGATTGTAGACTGTACACTAGAGGATAGGAAGGTGAATAATGATTGTAGACTGTACACTAGAGGATAGGAAGGTGAATAATGATTGTAGACTGTACACTAGAGGATATGAAGGTGAATAATAATTGTAGACTGTACACTAGAGGATAGGAAGGTGAATAATGATTGTAGACTGTGCACTAGAGGATAGGAAGGTGAATAATGATTGTAGACCGTACACAAGGGATAGGAAGGGAACAATGATTGAACTGTGCACTAGAATAGGAAGATGAATAATGTTTGTAGACTTACAAGGGGTTTGGGAAAGGGTGAATAATGATTGAGATGGCACAGGGGATAGGAAGGTGAATAATGATGTAGACTGTGCACTGAAGTAGGAGGTGAACAATGATTGTAATGTACACTAGGGAAGGAAGGGAAAAATAAATGTAGACTGTACAAAAGGGGATGGGAAGGGAATAAGTTTGAGACTGTACACAAAGGAAGAAGGTAACGATTGTAGACTTACACAGGGGATGGGAAGGGAACAATGTTTGTGACTGTGCCTAAAAGATAGGGGTGAAAAATGATTTAGACTTACACTAAGGATAGAAGAAAGGGAAATAACTCTACCAATATATTAAACATATGACACACCACACCACCCCCACACACACACACACACCACACACAACACACACCACACACACACACACACACAAACACAAAACCAAACACCCCCCCCCCCCAACACACAAACAAAACACACACACACACACACACAAAACACACACACAGCACACACACCAAACCACACACCACATACCACACATGCTCACACACCCAAAACGCTCAAAAACCAAAAACACAAAAACACACACACAAACCACAAACACACACACCACACACACACACACCACACACACACACAACACACACCAAAACACAACACACCACACACACACCCACTTTTTCTCTCCTCTCCCCCTTGGTCTTTTTACCCCCCATATCTCCCCCTCTCTTTTCCCTCTTTCTCCCCTTTTTCTTCTCCTCTCTTCCCTCTTTCTCCCCTTTCTCCTCTTCTCTCCCCCTCTTTCTACCCTTTCTCTCCCCCCCCCCCACACCCTCTCCCCCCTCTAGCCTTCTGTCTGTGGTAATAAAAAAAAAAAAAAAAAAAAAAAAAAAAAAAAAAAAAGGGTGGTTAGAGGACGGAAAACCAAGATCTGGTAGACAAACCAGGGGGGAAAGACTGGGAGTTAGAGCTCCAAAAAAGGGGGGAAGAGGGGGGAAAGGGAAGATAGTAGAGTTTGGTAAGAAAATGGGGGAGCGGATAGCTGAAGGTGCAGGAAGGGGGAATACGGATTGCACAGAAGCTGGGATCAGTGCTTAGAAGAGAAACTGAAAAGCCGAAACGTTTAAAAGAGACAAATGAAAATTGAGATGTGACACAGGAAATTCAAAGTCAGTGCAGAAAGGGGGAGGGTAAGAAACCCAAACGGAGACATCCGTACCAAGGCCCTATCAGACCCACGGGGGGCCAGGAAAAGAGAGACACACAAGATCAAAGACGGGCTGAAGACAATAAAGGGTTTGCTATATGCGGATTCTAACAGAAAAATGCAGTAGAAAGGGACAGGGGCGGGAAAAGCGGGTTCACTGAGAAAAAGTTTCAGATTGACGGGGACGAAGGCAAAAACATTCAATGGAAGGGAAAAAAAATCCTCGAGGAAGCAGATGGAGACTCGGGGGAGGAAAGGGCGACCCAGTGACAAATTTTCAGAAAAATTGGGTGGTTTGCAGGGGAAAGGGAAAACGGCCTGCAAGTAACTTTAAAGGGAAGAATCATTTTCGAACCAGGATTCTGCAAGAGAAAGCAAGACGAGGGACAAAGAGGGTCCAAAAAGTAACCTCGCCGCGACAGAAACAAAAGAAAGGCTACATGAAAGAGAGGTACAGAGACGCAAGGGGAACGGAAGCAATGAAAATGAGCAGGACCCCCGACACAGAGGAAGGGGAAAAACCCCCACAGAAACCCCACCAAAGCCCCCCCCGGGCATTCCCCCAAAGCAATGGCAACCCATACTACAACCCACCACGTTCCCTCTGCCCCCAACCCCCCTTTACAAACCTCACAAAAACAGCTGTCCCTTATGAGCATTCGACCCCACCCCCATCAACACAAACCCCCCCTACACCACAGCCCCATAAGGCCCCCCCCAAACTCTGCCCCCAACCCCAAATTCGCATGACCACAATGAAGAAAAAAAACTAAAGGTTTTGGACACAAACCGGTGGAATAACGAATAAACATGAGGAGTGGATGAAAGAATCGTGAAAAACCCCCCAAAATCATAGCAGTACAGAAAAAAATCGCTGAGACAATAACAGACCAATCTTCCCAAAGGAAAAACAATCCTGAGGAAAGAAAAGGGGTAAGGGGGGGGGGGTTTCATTGTATAAAACACCAATGGGGGTTGAGGAAATGGAAGGCAGGACATGATTAGAAAGAGATTACATTGTAGGGACAATTCGTCCGGAGAACATAAAGTAGCATTGGAGTGATTTTTAACCCCCCCACAGAATGCAGGGGGCCAAAAGAGGAGTACGAAGAAAACAACAGGGTGAGGTGGACACACGCGAGGTGGCAAAAAGCCACTCGACAGAGCAAAAGTTATGGTAAATGGGCGATTTCAAACCACAAAGGGGATCGACGGGAAAACCTGGAGCCACAGGGGGGCCCGAAAACTGGGAGCCAAGATAGGATGTGGTACTTGAAAACCTCTCATCAACATTCAGGGACACAACCAGAGAGGAGGGGGAGGAGAGCCAGAAGAGGGTCTTGGTTCAAACCCCGAGCAGTTCGACTTGGGCTCACTTACGAGACCCCTTGGGGCTAGCGTCCGGTTCTGATTTTGATTTTAAAGTAGGGGTTACAAGTGGAAAGGTAACGGAACTGAAGGGGGCAGGGCCAAACATAAAAGGGGGGGCTACACAGGTATGAGAAAAATTCCTGCAGGAGGTTTAGTGGGACAGAGAAAAGGTAGGAAAATCATAAAAGAGATGATGGAATATTTGACAACAAAGTGCAAGGGCAGAGGAAAGTTTTGTTCCCAAGGGAAAAAGAAATAATAGAAACCAAAACGAGCCTTGGTTTACCCCAAGGGGTAGGGAGGCAAAAAAACTAAATGCAACAGAGAAGGAAAAGGGACAGGAGGGATAGGACCCCGGAAAAAAAAAGGGGAAATTGTAAAGAGCCCGAAACGAGTAGCCAATAAGAGGGGGGCCCAGCGCAGTATGAAAACGACATAGCATGAAAGTCAATCTGACCCGAAACTGCTGATAGCCAATTAGGGGAAGCAACAAAGGACCCGGTGATAAGGCTGGGAAAGAAGGGGGGAACTCACAAGAAACGATCAAGAGGATTTAGGGCTCAAAACGAGATTTAAAGGAAGTATTTACAGTAAAACAGGAAGGGCTCTGGGGGGACAGACCAGAGGGGAACCAGCAAGGAATACACCAACAAGTGTTGGACGACATACATAAGAGAGGAGGAGGTGAAGAAACTGCTAAGGGACATCGATACCTCAAAGGCAAGGGGAACCGGACAACATCTCCCGTGGGTCCTTAGAGAGGGACAGATATGTTGTGCGTCCCATTACCACAATCTTCAACACATCCCTGGAAACTGGGCAACTACCTGAGGTAGGGAAAGACGGCAAATGTAGTTCCCATTTTCAAAAAAGGAGACAGAAAAGAGGCACTAAACTATGACCTGTGTCATTGACGTGTATAGTATGCAAAATTATGGAGAAGATTATCAGGAGAGAGTGGTGAGCACCTGGAACGGAACAGGAGTATAAATGCCAACCAGCACGGATTCACGGAAGGCAAATCCTGTGTCACAAACCTTCTGGAGTTTTATGATAAAATAACAGAAGTAAGACAAGAGAGAGAGAGGGGTGGGTTGATTGCATCTTCTTGGACTGCAAGAAGGCCTTTGACACAGTTCCTCACAAGAGATTAGTGCAGAAGCTAGAGCATCAGGCGCATATAACAGGAAGGGCACTGCAATGGATCAGAGAATACCTGACAGGGAGGCAACAACGAGTCATGGTATGTAATGATGTATCACAGTGGGCACCTGTGACGAGCGGGGTCCCACAGGGGTCGGTCCTAGGACCAGTGCTATTTTTGGTATATGTGAACGACATGACGGAAGGGTTTAGACTCAGAAGTGTCCCTGTTTGCAGATGATGTGAAGTTAATGAGGAGAATTAAATCTGATGAGGACCAGGCAGGACTTCAAGAGACCTGGACAGACTGGACACCTGGTCCAGCAAATGGCTTCTCGAATTTAATCCTGCCAAATGCAAAGTCATGAAGATAGGGGAAGGGCACAGAAGACCACAGACAGAGTATAGGCT